CCCACGTGGACCACCAAGTGGGGCTGAGGTGAGCACGCTACCATGAAATGTGTCTGATTCCTTTATTTTGCCTTCCCTTCTATCGCTCTTATTCTCTATGACTTTCCTATAATCTTTATACATCATAACTGTACAATTGCGCCTATTGGACCTGTGACAGAGTGAGGGGCTGGCTTCCCCCACGTCTACTCACCAGGAGCGGCCGGGGAAGCAGGAGAGCCGGAGCTCGAAGAAGGAAGACGTGAAATGGGAGGCTGATTGCCTCCAGGAACAGCTGCCTCCTCAGTCACGGGCTCAAGAAACTGGATGGTGCCCAGCTGCCCTTAATGAACATTTAGATCAAAGTTTCCACGGAAGAATCCTGATCAAGGAGGGGGGGAGGCAGAACAGACCCTCAAATTCTCACAGACTAGACTTTCTGGGGTCATGGAGGGTGGATGAACCCCTGAAACTGCTGCCAAGAGAGAATCTGTAGACCTTAAACCCAAAATATCCCCTTAAGTCTTCTTAAAACAGAACAATAGTTTGGCTTACCATATATACTTGAGTATAAGCCGAGTTTTTCAGCACATTTTTCATGCAGTTTTTGTGGTAAAATTTGGTGCCTCGGCTGATATAGGGCCGCTTATACTCAAGTAGATGCAGTCACTTTAATTCGTTAGCTCTTGCTAGTTAAGTAAAAACGGTCTTCCTTGAACAGCTGGTCCTCATCAGAGCCAAGCCGAAGGCCAGGAGGGCAGGGTGCTCTCTCCCCACGACAGCCGGCAGCTGGCTGGAAAAAGCGCTGTAAGAAATGTCCACGCAGGCGCAAATGGACAAGAGCAACTCGGAAGACGAGACAGGAACATTAGGGAGGAACAACTCAGAACAGAAGGGTTACACACCTCTACAAATGTAACGGTGCTTCGTGTTTAAGCAGTGTGTTTTACTGTGTGTATATAGCTCAACAACAACAAAATAAATAACATTTAGAGGTGTAAACAGGACGCCTTTTAAAGACCAGTTCTACCCTGACACACATGGGGACACCGTGCGTTGGAATGGACGCTACAGCAACGCCTGTGGTTTGGGGTTTGGTTTGGGTTTTAGACAGCTGTGGGGGCTGGGAGGGTGGTCAGGTCTGGGCTGTGCTGGGGGTAGGGAGGGGGACCATCAGTGCTTGCGCGAGGTCTAATGGATTTGAGGTAGAGTCGGGTTGCAACACAGGCCCCTCTGAGGATTCAGGCACAGGCCACCCACAGCACAGGTGTGGGCGTGCACCTGCACGTGTAAGCGCATGTAAGCCCCAATGTTCTCTCACCTGTGTGTGACTCTGAGAGCCAGGGAGGAGACTGCGTCCCACAGCCCACCCAATGCATAACCTCTTCTCATCAACAACCTTGCCCTTGGAAGCCTCTGGCTGGCCAGGGCGGTGGGGGTCAGCAGGGGTGGGGTTGGGGGGCAGCAACCCCTATTTCTTCCATTCAGTCCAACAAGGAATACTATAGGCCAAACACTGGTAACCCAGGGAGACGGAAAGCCATGCCTAGGTTCCTGAGGGAAGCCAGACAATACAAACAACAATGAGACTGACAATCGCTGTGGAGAAAGAAGGTCTAGTCCCTTGTCAAGTCTTTGAAACTAAGACCTTGAAGAGGCTTCTCTGCACCAGGTTAAACACGCCCAAACTCATCGACCGCTCTTTCTGGGCCCAGGGGCCAAGTCTATTTACCACCCTGGGTGCCCACACCCGGGCTCCCCTGGTTTCTGGGCGACCTTCTACAGGTTGGGGGCGCGCACAGGCTGCCAGTGGTGGTCATGGCGCTCATTCCGCCACAAGATCCCCACAGGCCCAGCCCTGGTCTCCAGCTTCCATGGCTTTCCAGGAGCACAGGGGGCTCTTGACTCCACTCTTGACTCACCCGCAGCCCATGGCCGTGAAGACCCCCAGGCCTTTTCCTGGGGCCCTGCTGCTAAGCCACATCTCTCCCATCTCATTGCCAGAATGCATCTGTATCCTGGTAGCTTCATGGGACAGAAAGCGGCTGATCATTCCAGCCTGTGAATGAGGTCTTCCCGGGAGTGGAGTGGTGTGGGGGTGTCTTCCAGCTTCCTGCTGCGGCAGCCAGCTAACCTCGGAAGGCCCCAGCCTCCTCTCTCCTCGGTAAAAAAAAAACGTGTGAAGGGCAAGATGACCCGGAGGCAGTCCGAGAGGCTTCCTTCCGGGAGTGGGTGGCGAGGCTATGGAGAGGGTCCTCAAACACTCTGAGCACAGTTCTCTGTCTGGTCCAGAAGGGATCGCTGCACAAGGAGTCTCCGTGTGCTGGAGGCCAGCCCCGAAATCAGCTTGAAAGGCTACAGAGCAGACGTTCCCCCGCTGTCCATCAGAATGAATCGAGTGAGGACTGTCAAGGAGACACATTGCAGGCTCCGCCTCCAGTGTGTCTGAACCAGGTGGTCCAGGGTGGGGCTGGAGGCTCTGGGCTGCTCTGGGGTGATTGCAACCATATTGACACCCAGTGGATGGTTCCCCCACTTCCCTTTCTGAACGCCCACAGGCAATTGCTTCCAGAAGGCTCCTGCAAGGCTCTCGCTGTAGTCTGGGTCATAGTCCGTCTGGTACCGGTGTCTCGCCTGGAGCAGGCGCTCAGGTGTTTAACCAGTGGAAGGTGCTGGGTGCTCCTGACTCAGAGCCCTCCTCCAGCTTCGGCCTTCTACTCCCCCACCCCCACCCCCTGCCACAGCTGTGCCACTCTGGGGGGTAGAGTGGGAAGCAGAGGGGCTGTGCGCTCTGAGATTCCAACCTCCGGGTAAGAGAGCAGTGGAGCTCTGTCCAGGTGAGGTCTCACCTCGGGGCCACCCTGGTGTGGGCCCCAAAGGACTCAACCATGGAGATCAATAACAATTGTAGGTGATAGTTTACAAAATTAAAGTTAGGGCCCAAGCATCTCTGATGAACAAAATATCAAATTTTTCAATGACCCAGTTTAAATGGTGAAATTCCCCAGAGAGCAATGGAGAAGCAACAAGAGCAGAGGAGCAGCAGCAGGACCCAGAGCAGGTGACAGAGCGGTGGGCTTCCCGGCCCCAGAATGCATACAGCTGAGGGACTTCAGGCAGGGGGCTTGCAGGTGGAGTGGTCCTCCCGGTACTGAGTCAGGTGGTCTAGCATCTTCAGACGGAGACTTAGAGCACAATGGAGAGTCCTGTGGACAGTTGTGATGGTTACATAGTTTCAAGTCAACTTGATAGAAAGGTTAGAGGGGTGGAGCCTACTCTGTCAATCAGGGCACAGACTGATTGATGCCTCCCTGTGGGAGTGGCCTTCTCATGAGGATTCTGGGTTTTCCTCTCTTTCTCCCTGGAGGCGGACGCACACTGTCTCTGCTTCACCTTCCTGTGGACAAGCCACATGGAGCCAGAGCCCTGGAGATGCTTCCACTGCCACTGGATCCGTAAGACTTTCCACCCACTGGCCTGTGATCTTCCTGCATTCGGCATCAACTGCATGTGTTTCATGAGTCTGACGAGGAATTCGTAGACTAGTATTGGACATATGGGCTAATATCGGATTTATGGACTTGGTCTGGACCAGGCTGGGATGTCTTATTGATGTATAATTACTTCTTGATATAAAGTTCTCTCTTACACATATATGAGTGTCAATGAATTTGTTTCTCTAGTCTACCTGGACTAACACAACATTGAAGCACTAAAGGAACTTTCTATGGGGGGGGGATGGGGGCAGTGGCTGAAGGGCCCGGGACCAGAGAGAGGTATGTCCGTGGACATGGCTGAGAAGAGGCCCTCCCAATTAGAAGAACTATAACCTGAGTATTTATGATGCTGAATTGCCATCTGCTCGCTTCCCTGATAAACCCCGTCATTGTGAGTAAATAAATAAAAAGTGAAGGAACTCTGGCAGTGGGGGTCCCGGAAGCCACCAGGACTGAGGCCCTCGCCCCTCTCCACCCTCTCCCTCCTCCCTCTTGAAGCTGTCAGGGTCACAGTCCTCCCCGTGTCTCAGAGTTCTCTGGCTTTTGGGGGGCCACGCATTTTGGACTGTATGCATGTGTTTCTGATCTGCTCTTGAACCAGAAAATAAAGAAATACATGCCGAGACGCAGACCCCCTTGTGGCTTGTAATTTCTGGGTTTTTCTGTGTCCACCCTCCCCAAGCCCAGCCCACACATGCCCGTATGCACATACACACTCGGTCAGCGGGTCAGGGTCAGTCTGTGACAGCTCCGTGTGCCGGGGAGCAGAGCTGTTCCTGTGCTGGCTGTTTGCTACAGAGCAAATCTCCAGGCCTTTCTCCCGTGTCCCCGGCTGGCTGGGCTGGTACCACCAACCTCCAGCTTAGTAGGTGAGGAGCCCCACCGGGGGACTGCATGCTCATCACAGCCTCCCTGAGTCCACGGTGACAGATACACACAGGCAAGGGGATACACAAAACCCTCCCATGCACACACAGCCAGAGACACAGGATGTTAGAGTTGGACACCCAGAGGCCTCTGGAGGCCTCCCAAGAGCAGGCTGCAGCAAGGACGGCACTCCTCCCAGCTCCCAGTGCCCGGACCCTCTCCTTGCTGCTTTCTCTTCTTGCCCCACCCTGCCCTCCCCTTGGGCTGAGCAGCCTATGGGTGCCTCTGGCCATGGCCTCGCTGGGACCATGAGTGGGGCAGAAATGGGAGGCAGAGGGGTCCAGGCTGGCAGCTGCACATGTGACCAACAGTGTCATCTTCAGCTTTTATTTGGAACCCCAGGAAGTAGAAGAGTGCAGTGTTAGGGACCCGGGTCTCCGCTGTCAACCCTGTCATGGCGGCGCTGCGCCCCTTGGGCGGGTCACTTCACTTCTCTGGGTCAGGAGGCTGAGCTGCTTTGATGTAGGACACAGGCCAGGTTCTGCTTCAAGCCCCTCCCCTGGAATCCCTCTCTGCCCGCTGATCACCAGGGCCAACCCCGGCTCTGACCAGCACACGTGCGCTGGAGGAAAGCACCCACACTCCTCCAAGACTCACCACCACCCTGGTCCCGTTGTCGGGCAGCGTGTCGATGGCCAGGGTGCCCCCAACCAGGTCCTTGCTCAGCTGGGTCCTGTCTGGCTCTGGCACCAGCCCAGGGCTCTCCCGGACTCTCCTCCTCCAGCTCTGTACGGTCTCCTGGGTGGCCCATCCAGAGCTTCGGCCTGCATCCTGACCTGGTGGGAGGGAAGGGTAACTGAGTCACGGTGGTCCAGGAGGAAGGCCCCCCAGGAAACCAGCCCATTTCCTCTGCAGATGTCCCAACGGCATGCCACTCCTGATGTAGGGGCTACGTGAGCACAGGCTGGGGGATGCCCGGCCTGGGCGAGAGCGTGTGCCCGGCAAGCACACACGCAGCGCCTTTCATCCTCCCAGCAGCCTCCTCTCCAGAGTGCAGACGAGGCAGCAGACACTCCGGAATGCTAGAGAAGAGCACATACAGGGGTGAGGGATGGCCACACAGACTCATCTCGAGGCCAGGCTGGTCTGCTCTGAAAGGGGGGTGGGGGGGCTTAAATCTCAGCAGCAGCCACCCAACAGATGGCCTGGGAAGCAGTACAGATTCCTGAGGGCTGTGTCCGCCCTATGGGCCCCATGGATTCTGATGTAATTGGCCTGCCGCGTGACAGGGACATTGGGAGTCTTAAAAGCTCCCCAGGGGGTGGGGTGGGGTGGGGGGTATTTTGAGAAACCCTGAAGTTCAATAGCACTGCCAACAGGGGTGAGAACCACTGGCCTAGAACTTTCCAAAAGAGTTCCCTATTTCTCTGCCAGAAATAGCACATCATCCCGTTTTCTGGGCCTCTCAGGAGACTAGCCGCCAGAGAACACGTTCTTCCAGGCCAGGATTTCTCAACCTCGGTGCTGGGGAGATTCGGGGCCGGGTGATTTGTGGCAAGAAGCTTTGGTGGCCTGTGGGTTGTGCCTTGGGCTGCTAACCACAAGTTTGGCAGTTCAAACCCACCAGCTGCTCCTCTGGAAAAAGATGAGGCTTTCTGCTCTCATGAAGCTCGAAAGCCTGCAGAGGCCACAGCCATACTATGCTGTGTTGGGACCGACTTGGACACAATGTGTAGGGGTGGGGAGTGGGGGGCTTGTTAGTCCTGGTCTCTGGTCCCTGAGAGGCCACCTCTCATCTCTTGGGCTCTATCCCCAGTGGTTTAAATTTTTGTTAACTGGGAGGGCTCCAGCCCACACTTCAGGGCTAATGCTAATGAGATGACTCTCGTTGGATGCAGGGCTGGCCAAGGCCCCCCACCAGCCCATGTGGGGGCTAGCACATAAGTTCAACCAGGTGGTCAAAGATTCAATGAACTATGCCTGTGATATTGTTGGTAAACTCAAAACCCAAATCCCTGCCATCGAGTCACTGCTAACTCATAGTGGCTCTTTTTTTTAATCATTTTATTAGGGGCTCATACAACTCTTATCACGTTCCATACATACATCAATTGTGTAAAGCGCATTTGTACATTCATTGCCCTCATCATTCTCAAAACATTTGCTGTCCACTTAAGCCCCTGGGATTAGGTCCTCATTTTCCCCCTCCCTCCCCGCTCCCCCCTCCCTCATGAGCCCTTGATAATTTATAAATTGTTATTTTGTCATATCTTGCCCTGTCCGACGTCTCCCTTCACCCACTTTTCGGTTGTCCGTCCCCCAGGGAGGAGGTCACATATAGTTCCTTGTAATCGGTTCCCTCTTTCCAACCATTCTCCCTCTACCCTCCCTGTATCACCACTCACTCCACTGGTCCTGTAGGGATCATCCGCTCTGGATTCCCTGTATTTCCAGTTTAATTTCTTTTGTAACTGGCATTTATTGGTTGTTTTGAGATCAGTACAGAGACATTATGAACAATTTGTACACAATTCTTAATGCAGTAACCAGAATCCTAAAATGGCATGTAGATAAAATTTGTTTCTAAATTCCAGTGACTTTCCAGCTTTAAATTTAGAGGCAAATTTTTATTTAAAAAAAAATTTTTTTTTTAGAGGCAAATTGTTAAAAAGATATTATCAAGTACCATTATCTTCAGATGCTGGTCAACTCTTACATCTTAAGTCCCACTAATTCACAATTCAGTGTCACACACACAACACACTCAAATGTTCAATCCTTCACAGCACGTCACAAAGTGATCGGGAACACTGGACGACCATAACCACAGGAGTTCCAGAACGCACACAGTTCCAACAAGAAAGCCAGGGTGACAGGATGGTTTCCAGACAGAATTCTATTAAGAAAACAAATGTGGAAACAAAATTCTAAATGTTCAAGTCCTACAAATGCCTGACAGTGACTTCAAATGGCCATTAAGTATGTTTTGTATTAGGGATACAAAAACTCCCCCCCTGCCATCCCATGGAATGTTATGTTGACACCCAAGACAGTCAAATCGTCCCACAATTCGACATCCCACTATTTTTTGGGTGTACTAAAATAAACAACCAGTAGATGATTTAACATCTTTAAAAAAAAAAGCATTTACACTTTTAAAAAATGAGATTAATTGGGATTTCCTTCTTCTTAAAAATGTTTCTAGAGCTACTAAAAATCTTGCATTTACGCAGCAGTTGATAAAGATATTCCTCTGGATTGTACAGAAGGGAGAAAGCAGGGCCCACTGGAAAGACCTGGTAAACATGAATCGGACTTGGCTTCTTTTTCTCCTGCTTCATCAGAGGCTCGTGGTTCGTTGCTCCGTGTTCAGCAGGTGAATCTTCTCGAGCTCCTTGGTCGGCTCCTTCCGCCCGGGTTCCCTTTGCTCCTTGTTTCCCGTTTGCTTGCACTGTTTTGTCCGAAGATTAATCCTTTCCTGCTGCCTTTTTTGGGCTTCATTTCCACTTCTGCAGTCACAAGTTTCGCTGCCAACCTCGCCCAGCTCCTCCTCTTCGGCTCCTCCTTCACTGCCCCTTGGGCTGGCCGAGCAGACCTGCCTTTGGGGCATCTTGGCTGTGGGGAGAGTGCTTGCAGAATGCCTTCGGACTGCAGGGCACCGAGAGCTTTCTCGAAGCAGGAGTGCCTGGTGCTGCCGCATCCATGACTGTAACTCTTGATGGGGGACAGAAAGCCCCATCTTTCTCCCTTGGAGCAGCTGGTGATCTCAAACTGCTGACCTTGCAGTTAGCAGCCCAACAAGTAACCACTACACCACCAGGGCCTCTCAAGCGGATAGGCGTTGTCAAGTTGATTTCAACTCCTGACACCTCCGGTCATGAGCTAACTGCTGGCTCTGGTGCAGGTCTCTGCGTGCGCGTCCATTTTGCAGAATAGGCTGCAGTCCTGTGCATATGAGTCGCTCCGGATGCCCAATCCCACCCACTGCCATTGAGGAGACCGTGTGACTCATAGCGACTCCATAGGGCAGAGCAGCACTGCTCCTAGGGCCCCGCGGTTGTTCATCGCCACCGGCGCAGCAGCCAGTGTGGCTGAACTTGTGCCGTGGGGAGCTGCCCACGCCCAGCGTACCCCCAGCGCCACCACAGCTCCTAGGGGTGATGACGGCGCCCCCACCGCTAACAGAAGGCGGGCCGTGTGAGTCCACCCAGCAGCTCCCTGGGAAAAAAGATCAGCGAGCTGCTTCCGTAAAGCTGATCCGAAAACCAAATCCACTGCCCTCAGCGGAACCCAGGGCCAGACTAGAGCGGCTCTGTAGGGTTTCTACCAGTCCTGGGCAGAGCGGCAGCCTCATCACGCTCTCTCGGAACTGGTGGGTGGGC